GCAATTTTTTGGCAACTTCTCGCATTTCGAACAACTTCTTTCCTTTATTGCAACTATTGGCTTTTTGATTAAGATTTCTCTAGAACTTTATCATCTAATTCTATGATATCGGAACAGCTCTTAGTGTTTAAATTAGCCTTTGTTCCATATTTCACAATGTTTTGTAGACAATTTGCGAATTACCAGTAAAAAAGGAGACAAATACTCCCCCCCTGAGGCACATTAAGGGCGCAAGATAAGTCAGCGGTGTTTACAGAAAATTTTAAATGATTGACGCAGATTCTCACTCGACTGACTCGAGTGTCTCGGGTGAAGAAAGCCATTAAGCAATTTTTTTGGCTCATTACATTTCTTTCGTGATTTTAACTCCGGACAAAGTTATTAAGCAACGCTTGTTGCGCTGAAAAATTGCACAAAAATGCTAAGAAATCTTACTTTTGTTTGGACAATTTGCATATTTTCATAACTTCAGACCAAACAAAGATTTTGTTTCACGAGCAACTTTTGAGTAAGTTTTGTTGCAATAAGCAACTTTTGAGCATTTGTTTGAGAAATAATGTGAAACTTTTTGCAACTTATGGAAAGCCCTCCCGGTCTGACCAGTCATCCTAGAGGAACTTAAGTCAGTTTTCAAAATTACAAAGGCTTCAGTGTTACTTTTTCGAAAATTTTAGTTGCAATTTAACGATTAACGAAAGTGAGGATTTTTCTGGTTACCTCTCCCCATCACATTTTAGAATCCCAAAAAAAATTTAGGTGACCATTTTTTTATTAAAAATATTTTAACCTGGGAACTGATTTTGAAACATTAAAAATCAGAATTCTTAGGGAATTTATAAGGTATAAAGCATCGAAAATTGTTTATGAATGGAAGGTCCATCTAGGAATTTTTAGTCTTCCTCAAGCAAAAGAAAATTCTTGGCAATATTTGCTTCTCCGAACAGATATTTAGCAGAAAATTGTCTTTGGGTGCCCCTAGTAGCCTCGCCGGGTCAATTTTGTGCAATTGAGCATGGGACACCACATTCGTAAGAACAAGAGAGGTCGCGTAAAAAGATAAAAGCTAGAAAATATTTCTATATATCACTAACTTGATCAAATGTGTGTGAACCTTGATGTTCCTTTCATAAGCTTGTGCAAATCGTCTTTTGTACTTTGTAGAAGGTTCCATTCAGGACTTACATACCTACGTTTATATTCTATATATTCTCTCGCCCATCAAATCGACCGTAGTTTATATTAATCCCTTTGAGTATGGACTCGGTTTCACTGGCTTACTCCTAATAATCCTCCAAGTTTGGTCGATTGACTAAATCGATAAGCCCGTTGAACCCGAAATAATGCGAAATAGCTTTGAAGCCCGCTTAAGCTAATTTTCTGCAAAAATGTATACTCAACAGCTTTCGTATTTTTATTTATCAAATTTATATAATCGCATTGGCCACTCTGCTGCTGATAACGATCCGATGAACCTCATATTGCTGGGTCTAGATTCCTTCATGTTGCTGTGCAGCGGCACTTGAAAGTGAGACTAGTCGATATAAATGCTTGGAAAATTTGCTGGAAGGTAGAAAGGAATCTTTACAATTCCTTACACCACTGGACGCCCCTACTAAGGCTGCTACAACTACTACAGATACCACAGCTACTATAGCTGCTACAGCTACTACAGCTACTACAGATACTACAAGTATTCCAGCTACTACAGGTACTACAGGTACTACAGGTACTACAGGTACTACAGCTACTACAGGTACTACAGGTACTACAGCTACTACAGCTACTACAGCTACTACAGGTACTACAGGTACTACAGGTACTACAGCTACTACAGCTACTACAGCTACTACAGGTACTACAGCTACTACAGCTACTACAGCTACTACAGCTACTACAGCTACTACAGCTACTACAGCTACTACAGCTACTACAGCTACTACAGCTACTACAGCTACTACAGCTACTACAGCTACTACAGCTACTACAGCTACTACAGGTACTACAGCTACTACAGCTACTACAGGTACTACAGCTACTACAGCTACTACAGCTACTACAGGTACTACAGCTACTACAGCTACTACAGCTACTACAGGTACTACAGCTACTACAGCTACTACAGCTACTACAGCTACTACAGCTACTACAGCTACTACAGCTACTACAGCTACTACAGCTACTACAGCTACTACAGCTACTACAGCTACTACAGCTACTACAGCTACTACAGCTACTACAGCTACTACAGCTACTACAGCTACTACAGCTACTACAGCTACTACAGCTACTACAGCTACTACAGCTACTACAGCTACTACAGCTACTACAGCTACTACAGCTACTACAGCTACTACAGCTACTACAGCTACTACAGCTACTACAGCTACTACAGCTACTACAGCTACTACAGCTACTACAGCTACTACAGCTACTACAGCTACTACAGCTACTACAGCTACTACACCTATTACAGGTAGTACAGCTACTACAGCTACTACAGGTACTACAGCTACTACAGGTAGTACAGCTACTACAGGTACTACAGGTACTACAGTTACTACAGCTACCACAGGTACTACAGCGCGTTTACTATAGCACATCTACTACAGCACTAACAGTAATGGGCGGTGGCCCGGGACATTTTGGGCAGTCTTACACCAAGTACTACCCCACGGCCACCTTTTATTTATGCGCAGTAGGTGATGCGCATTGCGAAACAAGGGAATTACCGTAAGTTTGATCTATCTTTGTGACCTCACCTTTGAAAGTGACCAGAGCGAAGAAAACTGCTAAAATACTACACTCACCAGAGCGATAATATGGATCTTCTGGAACGCTTTTCAGGAAAAGCAAAAATCTTAGATGCCCCAAAAGCTATTTAGGACCCAATTTATAGGATTCAACCTGGCCCTGGGTTGTTCAAACGTTAGATTGCGCTATCCAGCGGATAAATCACCATCAACTGGATAAAAGGGAAACAAATTGCGTTATCCACAGAACAGAAATTTATCCAGTGAAAAGCATTATCCACACTTTAAACAACTGGGGCACGTCCGGTTCCAGAAAAGGTTTTCGAGGTGTAGCTTGGAAAGCATTTCTGAACAAATTATGAATTTGATCAAAATTTCTATCCATTTATTTTCTACTTATATGTCTCCTGAATCCTACGAAAAAGTAATCTTGGTTTCATACTTCATTATATATTCTTAGAACTGTAAGGAGAAATTACAATCTCGCTCAGCGGCCTTTTCCTCATCTACGAAGTCAACACGTGTGAGCTGTACATGTCTTAAGATAAAATAATGGTATCTGGACATATGAATAATAAACTAATGTGTCACTTTATTTTTAAATTAATCTCACAGCTCCTACAAGGCACTGCTTGTCTATTAAAAAGCAGCGGTCTATTCAGTGTCCCGCAATACCTATTATCGAAAGAGTCCGTTCTTTTGGGATGACCCGGATCCGAGATCACACGGATCATACCACAGCGAAGGAACCGATGAATAATCCATCGGTTTATTTGAAGTATCGCCATCCGGATCATTCCAAAGGAACGCACATACACAACTAAAAAGGACTTTATTGAAGGTGCTTCTTAATGAGCGACATGAAGGAGACTTCGTTAGCGTTACACAGTTTCTTCCGTTTTTGCAGCTAGAAAACACCAGGAGTTCGATTCCCTATTTATCTAAAATAGAACTTAAACTTATCCTCTAAATATTTTAGCTGGTTTATATACTGTGAACTAGCCTGTGAGCAAGCTCTCCGGGGCGCTCTTTTCGCCCCGCCGCCAGAGCGTCGCGGAGAGCTTGCCCGCAATCTAAGTGTGAACAGAAAGAGAATTAGAAAAGCACTATTTAAGATCAAAGAAAGCTATTAAGCATGACGTTTTTCCCGCAATTTCTCAGTTTACACCACTTAAAAGTCACTGTTTCTCTGATTCAGGCAAGTTTTTCCAAGCTTAAGTTTGAGGATGACCTCGGCAAAAGAAGATTCAGAAAGGTCAACGGTGATGTTCCTATAACATGCTGAAACTTCTTAGAATCGAAAATTTTGGAGAGTCATAATGGAAGAACGGTGTTGGTCAATATTCTAGAAGTTAAAACTCGCAGAAGAATCCAGACAGCCATGGTTAAACAATACTGAGTCCTCCAAAGGGAGTAAAAAAAAATAGGTCTCCTGATATCAGTTGAAAGTGTTAATGCGAAGGTGGTCATCGCGATAGTCGTCTTATATGAACAATCTATGGCATTTGTAGCCTCTGAAACGTTCCAACTTATATTTGAAGACATGTAGAAACAGCAAATTATGCGAGTTTTGTCTGTATAAAGCAATATGACACAATTGTAAACTAAATCTCTAGTCGTTGTCAAATACCTCTAACAACAAATGTTTTATAACTTTAGTCCTAGTCACCCGCATCTTGCCCAGTAATAGCCTGCGAACGGCAGACGTTTCTCCTCGCTCATCTCCGCTGAGGGACGTTTCGCAAGGAGGAACGTTTGCGACTCAGCGACAGAAATTTCATACTGATGACGTAAATAAATGTTCACTTAATAAATCCGGTAGTCATGGGGTTCCAAATGCAAACTTGCTCAATTTTACGTTTCTCCTGGTCGATTTTGGAAAAGTGTTGTGTTAATCTGCGAATGAGCTCCAGCAAAACTCAAATGCTTCTTCTAGAGAAGACTATGTTCCACAAATATTGACTGTTTTGTTGGAGATTCATCGCGTTCACATTTGACCTTTGCCGCCTTTTGTCTGGCATTCGTAAACAATAGCTAGAACAATGAAACTACTCCGTCCACCAATCAGTGCTCCTGACCGGATTCCGGACAGATTTTGCGTCATCAGTATGGAATTTTTGTCGCTGAGTAGCAGACGTTCCTCCTCGCGAAACGTCCCTCAGCGACGATGAGCAAGGAGAAACGTCTGCCGTTCGCAGGCTAGCCCGGTAAAAAGAACTCAACGTGTTCAACATAACGTTGATTAGATTCTTAAGTTCCAGGCTCGGTGGGCGTGCTTTCAAGCATCTTAAGTATATCAGGTGGGCCTCGACTGACACAGTTGCTGACACGGCCTCTAAGCCTGTCCGCTATTTTACGTACAGTGTGAACACATCCGTGGCTATGGTGACATGGGCGTTTCTCGTTGTCCCTCAGTTTGACTATCTGCACTAGAAAACAAAGTTTAAAAAGTTAATTAATGATTGATGGCGTTTCTTTTTGACAGAAATATTCTTGAGATTGACAGTAACCCTAAACACAATATCAAGCCTCTAAAATTCCAGAGAAGGATTAGGGAAACCTACAGGCGAAGCTACTTGCAAAGTGAAATTTTAGGAAAATAACAACAACAAAAAAAAACACACACACACACACGCACACAATGTCTTAGAGAGTAACGTTCGCGGAGGGTTTTATCCCGCATGGAATTACTTAAGAACACGATTCGATACATTAAACTGCTGCATATAAGCCCTGGGCTTATACATCTTTGTAAGGGGTTTAAGGAGGGCTTTGAACGGAGGGGCTTATCCGAGAGGGCTTATAATCGGACCTGAAAAAGCGATTCGAAACAAGCTATGGCAATGCCGATCAAAATACGCTTTGCATTTACTTGCTATCATAGGCTTCAAAACCTCATTATAAATCGAATTCATTTCAATGCAAGCTAGAGGAAGGCTTATATCAGGTGAGGGAAGGGGGTGGGGGGCACCTGTCATAACGCAACCACCGACTAAACTGATCAATCATTTTATCACTAATAGGTTATGGCCTAGGGTATGGAAGAGTAGCAACATCACTTCAGTATTTAAAAAAGCTTCTGAGACTAATAAGTCTCTCTGTTGTCAAGGTTGAGCCTTGACAACAGAGAGGCTGTTGCTACGCTTTCAATTTATCTGAGTAGGGCGTTTGACTCCGTATGTCACGGCCTACTGCTTGCAAAACTCAGAGCTTATGGCTTCACAGATCAAGCATTGGAGTTGAAGAGGAATTAATTGCAAGATAGGCGGCAGAGGGTCAAAATGGACGGCGTTTACTCTGACTGGAAACCTAAAGTTGGGGCTCCTCAGGGAACCCTGTTGGGCCCTTTGCTTTTTAATATTTATATTAATGATTTGAACCTTCAAGTTACAAACATCTGTCTATGGTTGTATGCAGATGACACTACTAAATATTCATCGGACGTTTGCCCTCCAGTTTTAGAATATGCTATTAATTCTGATCTTCAAATATTAACAACATGGCTTCGGCAAAACTATGTAGAGATCAATGCATCCAAGACGCAGGCAATGGCCGTAGGTCCAGTACCCCTATCGCTATAACTTCAGTGTATTGCAGTGGACACTACCGATACACTTAAAACTCTTGGTGTAACATTAGAGTGTAACTTATTTTTGTTGCTCATTTATTATTTTCTTTGAACGGAAATTTTACACCTACCTTCACGAATCTTTCCAAGGTGAATATAATTACTGTTCTGGTTAATTTGATCGAAATTCCTCTTGGTAGTGTTCGTTACGGTAACTGTTTTGTTTGTTGTATTAGCAACAAGGCTGTGTATTTCCACAAAGTTTCGCTCTCCGTCCACAAATGCAAAGTGTACTCGGATTTCGGTCCTTAAGTTTTGATTTCTGCGTTGGATCATCTTATATTCATAGACCCTCCAGTGCTTTCCTTGGCAGTATCTCCTAACAGCTGGTTTCATGGTGGTGTTGGTACCTGTTGTTGGAAATGGTCAGTTACCTCTTTAACCACAAGCTATGATCTTCTAGCCTGTTTCTCAAGATAATTAGGTTTTTTTCGTTGAAAGCGCTTCACGCTCGCGTAAATTTAAGTTGACAAATGGCGCCGAAAACATATAACCAGTTTCAGTTTCTAAATGTTTAGAACTGTTTGAGCAGACATTAGCCTGAGAAAACAGCCGACATGTCGCGACGTCACCACTGGTTTCCCCACGAAATGACGTCTGAGAAACGAGCGCAGAGATTCCATACTGATGACGCGTCACTACCCAGGTCTGGGTAGCACTTCTGATTGGCTGAGTCACATTTCCCACGCGGCACGATCAATCAGAAGAACTACCCAAATTTGGGTAGTGAACATCGTGCACGTGGCTTCCATTTCTTATTGGTCAAGTGTGTATAGCCCATACTTGGCGGCAAACTTCGGTTTCTTTGAACTACGAACATTTCCACAGTCACCAAGTAAAGTTGAAGTAGGCACATTTTTTTTTACCCCTTCACACTCAAAATAAGTTCCAAGTACACTTACCTTATACATGTACTTGAAGCCCTAGTGTGAAGCCAACAAATATTCCCAGAACCGTATTTATAAAGTTTTAACTTTAGACTGGTTTTAAGTACCAAAAACAACTTTAATAGTAATGTAAAGGAAATTAATTGTTGGCTTCACACTAGAGCTTCAAGTATAATGAAATGTAAGTGTGGAACCTACTTTGAGTGTGAAGGAGTAAAATTTTGGTACTTCAGCTTTACTTGGTGACCATGGAAACGTTCGTATTTCAAAGAAGCCGAAGTTCGTCGCCAAGTATAGGCTACATCACACTTGAGAACACACTTGACCAATAAGTAATGTAAGCCATGTGCAAGATATGCACATGAGGCGGTTCCAAATTCTCACGAACGGAGAGATTGACAGCTTTTATTTCAAGTAATATACTTTGCCAACAAGTGTGAAGCCATGCAGCCAGCAACTGTCTTGCTCTTGATTTGTTTTCTTGAATACATGCGTGCCATTCACTCAAGCTCAATATTATTTGGGATGACTGGCTCAACACCTTTATTTTTTCGAAATTTTTAAATTTCTATAGAACACTATGAACATCAGAACAGCATCTTACCTTTACATTCCTTACAACATTTCCCGGGAACGGTTACCGGCTGTGCGCAAGAGTAATTGGACGGACAATGCACAGGACTGCAATCTATATTGGGTGGCTAAAATATAGGACAGTGTCACGTCAACAAAGTTCGTACCCTGCGATTTTGGGAGTCGTGAGAGAATTCACGCGAGAGCCTCAAGCGAAAGGACACGCGAGTGCGAGGGGCATGTTCTCTTGAGGCTCGCTTCGCTAGCCTTTATTGGAGAGCTTGCTCGCAGGCTACAAAGTTTGATTAGTGCAATGCTCGATGTATGAAGAAACAGAGTCAATCAAACAGTCAATCTATCAACAGTCCGTATCAATCATTAGCACAAGAATCCTATGCGAAGACTGCACAGGTCTGTTGTGTTCCGAGTTTACACGACATGGTAACTTGGTCAAAACTTTCTAATAGCTGAGTAGTTTGCCCATCTGTTTGCAAATGAGGGCAAATTGACTGTACTACCCTTGTTAAATATCTAGAAAAGGTCAACAAGCTTGTATTCTCCATGCACGACTCCACACGGAGCACTTATTTAAATTACTTCTGTCACTAAGCAGTCTTGTACCCAGATCTCACCGGCGTTTGTTTGTCAGTGGAAATGTGAGATCTTTCTTTGCTACGTGACCTTCGAGATCTGAGTACGAGATCACTCTGTCCCCATCTGCGTGGTTAAAACCCAAGTGCAGGAAATCTTTGAAATATCTGGGTATCATCTAAGAAAGAGTGCCTTCCTAAATAAGAGATATTGACCTTTTAACGCCAAGAGAATTCAACGTCAGATTTCTATTAGAACTGCAATACAAACAATTTTAAATACATACTCTTATCTAGAATGAACTTACAATGCAGACGCATAGGATGCAATAGGTAATACCAAAAGGGACAACGTTTGGATGGTAAGAGTAATTAGAAGGAACTCTTTGATTGTCTGGCAACAAACATCCACTTTCAGGGGTGGCTGAAATGCAAAATAAAGATGGAATGCTCAGCTTTTTTACCATAGACGGAAGTTAAATACAGACTTCCTCAAAGGCAGGGGCTCACCTATGGGATTTTCACTCCCGGGGGGTACTCCCTATGATGGCCTATACGGGAAGGCTCCGCCCGAAAGGGGTACCTTTTCCAGGCTTCAGGCATATAATAAAGGTTGGTATTTGACTAGTTAAGGTATATAAAAGGGTAGGGAAATCTGTCATTTGGGTCTGTGAAAGGGCCCAAAAGGGCTAACAGATGAATTTTATGACTTTATAAAGACGAGAAAACGTTCTGTTTTTGTGATTGATTGCTATTTGAAAGACGATGCATTTACAGCAGTTAAAAGGGACTGATGCAAATTTTAAACAAGGTAAGTGAAAGGAGTACCATTTGTCAATAAAAGGTATACGAAGGGGAAACCTTTTTCGTGAAAAATTGTATATAAAAGGGTAAGGGGTCGGACCTCGGGGCGGAACCTCCCCGTATAAAAATTTGTTAAGTACCCCCCTGGTTTTCTATTAATCTATAAAAAGTAAAGGAGGTATAGTGGCAAAGTCAGCTCAAAAAGTCTGCCGTTTGTTTCCGTTGATGTACTGAGCGACTAAGCAGTATAATTAAACATTGAAGAATGTTTCAAAGTCGCTATCCATCTTTGAAGTTGTCCAGAGGCAAACAGTGGCAGCAACAAAGGTTTAGATATGGCTACTGAAACAAATAGAGTAGAAAAAGGTGAAGTAGAAAGGGAGGACGGTAAGGTGTTTTTGGTTGGGTGTTTGTAAAGGGTTAGCCTTTATTGTTTGAAGAAGTTGGAGGGTCACGACGTTTTCCATGAAACGGTTTAGATCTCCCGGCTGACTCCGCTCGCCTATCGCCAACAAGGACGTACCTACCACTTGCCGACCATCCATGGGACTATAAGCAGTAACTCGAGTCTGACCGCCACATCACGTGTAGAACAACTTACCGATAGACTCAGTTCCTCGAACAATTCCTCACATGCAGTGAGCAGTTTTAAGAACAATCAAAATTGCATTGCTTAATCATTTTCCTTAGCTCACTAAAAATCCTGCGTATTTTCACTATACCAACATGTTTGATTGAAAGTGGCCCGAACCTATTTATAGGCGTGTTGGTTATGTTTTTGAATCGGGTTTTTTAGAAGGAATTACTAACCGATTTCTATACATTCTGGTGTCCTTAATAAAGAACGGTGGAACGTTAAGAAAATGCTATTTTATTCTCTTGTAAGTATAAAAACGTTTGAGATATAGCATATATATTTTAACCGTGCATATTTACAAAAAATGTGAATAACTCCGAAATCTTACGACAGATTTTTCCCTTACTTCAGCATTTAAGCCTAAGAGCTCTTCTAGTTTTATATCTGCAAGTTTGAAGTCAATCGTGACCATACAACTCGCTGCACTGAGAATGCTGGGCAAATAAAACCTTAAAATGCTACGCTAACACATTCGTGAAAGCTGACGCACAAATAGAGGAAGAGTGCTGACTATCTCCTATCTGAACGGGTATTCTTACCCAAGCTTTATTGCAAGAAACTGAGTAATCAGAAACCTACAGCGAATACAGTTTACACTACATGAGGACTAACTTTATGCTGAATGCGGGGTGAGATTATTATTAAGGAACTTCTGTTCATCAAAATTACTTTGTATTTGTAGGGAAATCATATATAGAAATTCCGTTAAATTGTTCCTGCTTCACAAACATAACCAACACGCATATAAATAGGTTCGGGTCACCTTGAGTCACCTTTTTGTCCCCCTAAACAGCACTAGCACCAAGAATCAATACCCAGGTAATGGCATCCGCTTCTATTGGTTTGGTAGATTGTTTAAAATTAAATCGTCTTTTCGTGTAATAATGACAGTTGAGGCTAGATCCCACAAAGGTCCACGCCCAAGTTCAGTTTGATTTGCATACCTTTTCGTCCCACTCGAGATTTGGAAATCGATCCAGCATTTCTAGAAGACTTACGGACTGAAAGAAGTTAAAAGATTTAATGATGGTTATTTTAGAAGAGTTTACGTTAGATAGAAGTGACTGAAGAGCTTAGCAAGCAGTGCCTGTTTCTGGTGCATTAGAGCATACATAGCATTAACTTCAACGTGCAAGGGTATTGTGCGACATAATGTAAAACAGACAAAAACAGAAATAAAGAACTTATTTCCTGGTGGATGTATGGCTGTGGGGGAATCATTCCTTCCGAACCAAAAATGTTAAAAAATATTAAAACATCAAACGATTTTGATATATAAATAAAAACGGAGATACGATTTTATGTGTTTCTTTTCTCATAAAATGTGAAAGAGTCTACAGCACATGGTACATGTATAAAGAAAGAAAACGTAACAAATAACATGACAATCGCATCAGTTTCTGCTAGATCCGTTACATCGAATTGTTCTCAGAAACTGTACCTCCTTTCACTGACGATCTGATTATTTTACAAACTATTGGTTTGTACAAGAGGGCAATTAAATCTGACGTAGTCTCTAGCTTAATAAACAAGTGTCTTAATCCTCTGATGGCGTCACAGCAGAATGTTACCCTCTGCACAAACAGCCTATCTTCGAAAGGTATCGCTGAAATTTGAGTCTTACTTCTAAGGTGTGGTACCAGAGTCGCAGAACGCATACCTCGGAAGATTTCTGTAATAAAGCCTCCAAATATTTTTCTGCCACGTTTAGCTGGTTTCTTTGTCGGTGAGTTGGCTGAAATAAATTAACGCCGAAAAGAAGGAGAAAGATGACAAAGCGATTGCACTCAACCCAGCATAATATATTGTTTTGTAGTTATTAGTATTAATCAGGTGCATTATTTATTATTAGCTGTTAACGTTTAATTTTTAATATAGTGCTGTTCTTCAGTCCTGAAAAATAGGGTGTAAGGCGACTGGAAGATCAAATTAATTTCATCGAAGTATTTGCGGGATTGGAATTACAATTACTTGAAAGAGACGAGTGAAAGAGACGCCCGACTCCTTATCCCAGAAGATACCGAGCTTGAGCAGCTGAACAATAAATTTAGTCGACAATAAGGAAGTCCGTTAGAGCAGCATTTCACTAATTCGTTTCGTCAGGAGCTTCAGTTTCATTTTCCTGTCAGATCCAAATTGAAAATTTAACGTTGGCAATAAAGAAAAGGAAAAACATTAAATGGAAAGGGGATGTTCCATAAAAATCAAGCAACTTGACTCTGGGTAGATTCCGTGCCTTAAAAAAGTTCGTGTTGACTAAATACCCAAGTACTGTCTTGGAAAGCTGCGTCCAAGCTAGCCACTGTACTCATGGGTAAATAACTTTTTACGTGCGACCGATCTGCAAAATTCCCTTCCCCCTTGCAAGCACCCAAAGCGCCTCAACAAATCAGGAGGCAATTAAAAAATAAAAATCAATACATAAAAAGATAAACAAAAAATCAGTAGGTTATCAGGCAAGCACTAGAAATCACATGCTGTTTACCTTCTGTGTTCATCTTGGCGTCAAGTCCTACCCGCAACTGAACTTTACAAGTTTGATAACCAGGCAAGATTTCGAGCGCTGCCTTAAAATGTTTTTGTTTACTAATTCGAAGTTTTCTTTCCATCAGCACCCAAAACTGAACAACTGCACAACAAAGGAGAACTCTTGAATGAAGTTGACGTAAAAGTTCACGCCTCAAAATTAAGTGCTACAGCGTATAACGCTAAAATAAATGTAATCCGTCATATTTTTTAGAAACCACGAGAAGATAAACACTGAAGGAAAACGTCGCCCCATGTAAGGGGATCCGGGAAATTTTTGCTTGTGGAATCCGGAACCCTGGGCTTCGGAATCTGGATCCGTCCGGATCCCATAACGATTGGGATTCAGTTCCGTTGACAAAGACTGGGATCCAGTACCAGCAATCCGGAATCCACCGCGTGGAATCTAGAATCCAAGGCGTGGAATCCAGAATCAAAGACTGTCTTGGATTTGCATACATCCCACACATGGGGCGAAAAACGGAATCATTAATATTGGGCAAAATTTGCCCGTGCTAACAAGTCGTTTACCTGGGCAGGTGTCGCAGCAGGCTCCAGGTTTCCGTACAGGGCTGACACAGGATAGCGTCGGGCAGGTAGGTCTTTGACACACCACTGAAGTGTTCTAAGATGGAAAAGTAGAACCAATTCCATTTCCTTCCAGTGGTGTAGGCGATATTATTTAAGACAGCTTTACATAGGAAACATGAATCACGATAAATTATATTATTATTAATTCAAAATATTTACCCAATTCTGAATGGCTAAAAGCACACGCATAATTCACCATAACCAATTAATGATGACCAAATTTGGAAGAATTTTGTGTTTAACGAGGAAATGACGTCAAAAATGCACCCCGGTACTAGTTAAGGCACCGTTAACGAGAAGACCTGGGGACGGGGTTGAGTTGTTTTGCTTGTGAAAAAAAAATGGAGGACATTTCACTTGTTTCAAGAGTAAGAACTACTGCTGGAACTAGACGAAATAATAGCTAAAAACATGGCAAAAAAAGCAAGAAGACAACTCGTAGGGCGACATCTCCTATTTGGAGAATATTTGCGGGGCTGGACAAACCTAAACTTACACTATCGAACATGAACTTAATATCGATGCAGGTAAGCATGTTTTAGTTATGTTTTTCAACTTGGAATTATTTTGAATGAATAATAAAGTTTGGCCTCGGTGGATAACACCCTCCTCGATCTGCTTAAGTCTTCATATCCTACTCAGCCTCATTCATTAATTGCTAATTAATTTGAAATACTACTGTGACATTAAGCGTTTATTAATGTCATTGAATACTGAATGTTCCCATCGTCAACTTCTTATTGTTAAACCAACTCAATTCTAAATCACTGAACTTGATCGCCTTATCGAGCGCTCGAGAGTGCCCAGCTTTAGCACAAGCGAATCCTTGTGCTAACGTCAATGTTTACATTTTTCCTCTAAGTTAAGGTGGCTCGATACATTTTTCAGGGTCAATACCTCCCAAGTTTGAGCATAAACTACGTCGTCATAAACAACGATTTGGAAAAATTGCCACGACAATTGTAATATATAGATTTAGCCAGGGCTAAAAGCGAAGCTCCAATTAATAAAATTATAATTTAAATCAAAAAATAAACTTTTAATCTACAAATCATTTAACTTAAGGGCACATTCATGTGACGTTTGAGGGAAAGGCTAAATTATTTTAGAGTGAAACATCTTACATCGAATTGATAACCTTATATGTACACCCAAAAAATAGCAAACATCTTCGATCACATTCAAGATCACAGTAGATTAGGCCTCGAAAACAAATTCTTGGAAAACAAATCACGCCGAATTTTTTTGCGTTCGACAGGTTTACTTTACAAATTCTTGCCAACAAATCTGGGGGTGTTTAAACCAACCTTTTATAATTTTTATACATCACCTTTGAGGTGAAACAGTACTATTTATCATACAGACCTCGGACAGAATGCAGTATTTCACAATTTTTCAAGACAAATTGCACTCAGTCAATATTCAGGACGATCAATCGTAAAGCGAAACCGTTCAAAAATTTCCAAAATCACCCATATGGGCAGCCGGTTCTCGTTTCTATAGTGCGAGCTGTCAGTGTGGTCGAGTGTTTGAATGAACTTTAATAGAGTTAAGCTTCAACATAATAGCGAATTTATTATTATTTTTTTTGTTATTTAATGGTTTCAGTTATAACGATGTGTAATCTTATAAAGCGTTTGATACGCGCGACATTTTTGAGTACTCCTGCAAGCGATGTTCATGAACGATGAAAACAAACGGCACAGACAAGCGATTAAAATTGCAAGAGAGACTACTAACAATCAAAAAAAGAAATATAATTCGGTGAAACATTTACAGAGATAACAATTTTCATTCATGAAGACAAGTATTAAAGTGTCTCTAAAAATCCTGAGTCTCGGCGTGAAGCTTTATAAGCCGGCTTCCCGGCGCGGGTGTTTACTGTTTTCCAAGGTGAACTCCTCGAAGCAAGAAAATCGCTCAAAGTTTTCTTTCTACAGCCAAATTTATAACTAAATATTCTTCGGAACGTTTTCTTTCTATCTGTGGTGAGCAAATATATCTGAAGGCTTTTTAAAGTTCTGTAAGCTTATATCAAACCGTTCAAACCTGATACTAGGTCAGATCATTGACTCAAACTACGGCTACAAACGTGCATAAACTTGCCGCATAAACTGTCAGCGTGAATGTGCAAGACTTCATGAAATTAGATATAACAAAAACAAACATCAAATACAATAGTTACTCAGGCTTACCATTCGAGATTCAGTTCCTGAAAGCTATCAAGGAAGGCCACAGTTGCTTGAGACTTTTAAACCCTCTTAAGCATTAAGCAAGGTGAAAAACGAAAACGATGCCATCCGAAATCGAATTACCAAATTTTGACAAGCGACGCGTTCCTCAACCAAAAACCCAGTAAACAAACCAGCCATGAATAACAGAAGACTCTTGATAGCAGCTGTATTTCATTTTGTACATCCAGAAGAAAAAGACAGTTAAAAACATCACAAGTTGACACAAAACTCTTCAGCTTCAGCTGTCAAAGTAAACAATTTTCAAGATGCTGCATAATTTTTTCGCATGAACTCACCTGTCAAATTTTGACCAATCAGAGTATAAAAATTGGACGTAGAGCGTGACCAACGCGTGACCATGGTAAGATAAGGTCTTCCCCGCCTGTACTTTTAAAAAAACTGGCTGAATTTTCGCTTCCGAAGTCAGTTTGAAATCAAAATTCTAATAGTGCGGGGCCATAGTGACATAAACACAACATATTTGATATGAATCCTTGGAAAAAATAAACTTGAGCCTGCGATCATTTCAAACTGGTAATTAATCAGCGGATAACTTCAAAAAAATACTCGACCTCGATGGGTCAACACTTGTTTATAGCGACGTTGTTTATGCTCAAACTTGGGAGGTATTGCCCTTGGAAAACTGTATTGAGCCACCTCAACAAGACGTCGCCGACAAAGGAACTAGGAATCAAAAACTGCGAAATTGCTCGGTGGCAAAAACGGTAATGAGCTTATACAATCTTTTCAATCTTGGTTTGGGGCTTTTTCAAAGAGAATTTCTCCGAAACGGTATATCGGGTTCAAAATTTCAATGATAACTGAAAGTGTTCTGCTCTTTCAATATTCAGAGATTCTATTTAACGAGTTTCATCAGCTTATGATAAGCATATGTTAATGAGGAAAATGTAAACTTCTTTGAGGCAATTTTTTACAAAGCTTTATAACTTTGTCAGTTTTATACGTAGAAGACTGTCAGACCACAACAATAAAACATTTGCCATAAAATATCTTCCCATGTTACATCTAAGGTAATGACGTCGTCAGTCACGTGACTATTTCCGAATTAGGTTTTTTTGTTGCTGTGACAAGATTTTATTAACGAGTTAAAAACAAATAGCACGTTTGACGTTTTTTGTTGTGTGGGGCATTTAAAAATAACCCGTTGACGTCCGGCATTTAAAATTTAACGGGCTCATGAACTTGAGCAAAACGGTCGGGAGATTAGGCCGAGGGCTGTAGAGAGTCAACCTTTATCAGAAGGCAGAGAAAATTTGCGGGAAAGTAATGTGTTACCTGATAATTTTTTTCATGACCAAAAGAGGGGCACGACGTCTTCAATCACGTGATCAAAGCGTTTTGAATGTTTTCTTCCGTTTTTAAAGTACCTTTTTTTGGCATAAATTGGCAAGTTTTTGCTGTTTTTCTCAATAATTCTTGTATAGTATTGTCTCTGAGTAATCATTATTCCGTTTTCAAAGCAGAACCAAACGAAAACTGATGCAGAAGTTTAAAAGTTGCGTAAATTGCCCGATATTGCCGTTAAAATCGAACAGGAAACCCACTCTTGAGATTTTTGTAAAATCCTTTTTCAACTTAACTGTTTGTTTGCCGAAATATATGTTCAACGTTTGTTAATAAAGGAGAACTTTAAAAACTAAAGGATGTGTTCGGCGGCCACATTGTTTTTCTTCATTCCGGGGAAAGAGGTCATTTAGCAGCTCTTTTAACCCTAATGAAAGCCAAATGGTTTGCTACCCTAACCTAGAACAATGGAAATAATAATGAACAATGTTGTGTTAATGTTTTCCCCGATCGATGAAAAGACACCTTACGAGCAGGGAGAGAATGGTACGGTCATACGGTTCAGTCAGTAGCCGCGCTATCGATAGTTCATAAATTTCTTAAACGTTTCCCGGCATGGACTAAGCCTGAAAGAATATTAATGGATATATTGTGAGTTTTACTTCTAGCTTCGATCAGTTAAAGATTCAATTCTACACTGAAATGTCAATCACCATAGAGAAGGAATATATACCTCTTTTAAACTTAAATTGTCAGCGTTTACCGAAGTGGTCCAGTGGATAGAGGCGTTAACTTGTACAGAGTTCGTACTCTTTTGCGCTCTTCAAATTCCATGGCCTCCCATGACTTTTTCAAGTCTTTCAAGACCTCTGGTTTAGTGGTCACTTTCAAAAAGTTTCAAAATTTTCCTTGTTTTGGGGTATTTTTTGACCTTAAACAGTTCAACAGAAACAAACTCTGGTGTTCACCAAAATGCGTGGCGTTTGCGCTTTTTGATTACTTCTGACTATCTTACATTGTCCTTGCTTTGTCATCTCAGTAACTAAACCACAAAACAAAACTTTAATTTTCCATGACTTTCAAGGACCGATAATTAAATTCAATGACTTTCCAGGCCTGGAAAAAGGAAATTCTTAAATTCCATGACCTTCCAGGTTTCCATGACCTGTACGAACCCTGTTTTAGTTCTAACCGATTCTGAGGATCCGAGTTCGAATCCCCTTGAAGGAAATTTTTCGTAACCGTATATTTTTTCTTTTTTTTTTTAAATCTCTTGCTTACTTTCTTTTTTACCTGTGTGGTGCATATAGCTAGTACATAATGTGGTAAAATTGAAAGCCGGATTTACAAGAATATAAAAAATGCGGTACGTATCGCATATCGTATCTTCCGGTACTTTTTGTAATACTGGACACTGTTATCAGGGAGGCAAGAAAGTGGTTGGAGTCAAGGCATGCCTATTTTAATTCGAGGTAACTGCTTTGGATTGGACGTCTGAATCAACTAAATTCGATAGTTTCAAATTAAACTGCTACGACTTTGTCGAATCTGCTAAGTGGAAAATTCGACTTAGGTTCAACATTTTACTTAGAAGTCGCATTTCACATGTGCCGAATATAATGCATTAATTGTAGAAACCCTCATCAATATTGGATAAAAAAAATTTTCTGAAGACTGGGAATATTAACAATAAACGGAGTTAAATTCGGCACCATCATATCCGACGTCTGAATCAACTGCCGTATTTAATTAATATATTCTTTCATCGACTAAAACACTCATAAGAAATTCCACGTTTGAAAGGGGCCTAACATGACGTTAGTTTCAGCTTAATGGTTTGCAGGCTGTTATTAAGTTGTTGTTTTCTTTTCAGTAAGAGCAATTAGTATCTCTCTTGGTAAATCCATTTAATTAATCGGTTTGCGCCACGACTTAAGAATCAGCTGTAGTAGTTGATTTTACTATCTATTTTACATGATTTGTATGTCACTGGACATGATTTGTATATGTTGTGGTTAATTTTTTATCTTAGGTAATTTTTATTTTTCCATTGTTTCAAATTCGTTAGCATACATTACCATACCAAAAAACAAAAGAAAAACAAAAATTACCTGAGATAAAAAATTAAGTACAACATATATTAAAAAGAGCGATCAATTTTCATCCATCCGTTTCAATAACAGCAAATGGAATCACTTCTCACTATAGCGGACAACCTCGAACCGTGACTTCGTCGCATAAATATGCGGCACCGAAGAAAGATGAAAAAGCTAACCCTTTTTGATCAAATTACTTTAAGGTTTAAACTCGAGGCTTTAGATACTGTAAAATAATTATAATTTTCTTCGACCGGTATCACTTGTAATAATAATAATAATAATAATAATAATAATAATAATAATAATAATAATAATAATAATAATAAAAGTGTTTACAAAATATTGTACCTTGCAAACGCAGCTTACACATAAGTCGTTTTTTGGAGATAATAAGGGAAACCACTTTTCCAAATTTCCATAGTATCTACCCATAGTTTTGCAACCTACGGAAAAGAGAAAATAAAATGTCATTAAGACTAGCAATACTTATTGTCGTGAATGAAATTGGTGCGTCTTATACCTACCTGCTGGATCGCGTGTTGTTTGTAAATCCCCTAGAATTAAATTAAAGCAGATATTAATAATTCAAGAATTCAGCATCTCGTTAAGTGTGTGTTAAGCTACGTGTAAAGGGACGCAACAACTCCCAACATTGCTGGCCCAACAATCATGAGAGTTGTTGCGTCCGTCTGCAAGTGGCTAAATGTTTGACCGGTCTCAAAATCTGCGCAACATCTCCCAACAAAACGCAACAACATGCACCGGGGTGTGAAAAAGAAAGCAACATGTAACATCCAACTATGTTGGGAGTTGGTGGCCAGCAAAATGTCTGATGTTGCGCCAGTTTGCACGGGGCTTTATATGTGTAAGTGCTACTTCTTTTGACTCTGTACTAGGTGCATCCTAACTTTGTTTACGACACGTTACAATTGTTTGTATCACCGTCAAAAACTTATAAAAAAATAATTGAATACTTTCGAACTTTTTTTGGAAATTTTACAGTTCTTACCTTCGCAAACAGGACAGCACGAGTGTGTTCCATTCCGTTGTTTTTTGCATGACAGAACAGGGCACGATCTGACTGAGCACGTGACAAACCCATCCTACAACACAAATAAGACTGGTTTTAAGTGAAATCCTTGTTGCAAATTCCTTGGTCTTTTGTTTTCAGTTGGAAGAAAAAAATGTTAGTTTTTTTTAGTAGATTCGACTTTATTAGCTTGCGTGGCAAGAGCTTATGGAACGAGGAAGAAGAAACATGTGCGCAATCGGAATCCCAACAAACTTAGGCAAAGAAAATTTATTTCGGTTCAACTTCCATGCCACCAAATGAATTTATTTAATTTTCATACAGTTGGGGATATTTGTAACAAAACCAAGTGGTCATTGATGAACGTTATTTTAAAATATCTTACCGTGCAGCTACATTCCGTACACTGGTTTTTACGTAAAGGCACGGATCCCATAGCAGCCACTGCCCATACTGTGCCATGTTTTCGGGTTACATTCTCACTTTTACAATTCTTTTTTCCTTCTTCAGGATGTTGCCCTAGAACGAGATCGGTAATAAGGGTGGCTCATAAAAGTTTGAGCATTTTCTGAAGACTTCAACAATAATGGATTGATAAATACTAAATAGATTTTTTAATTAAGCCTGTTCTAATGTACAAAATTTAAACAATAATTATTTTTACGAACACGTTTATTAGGGTATGTTTCCTTTTATGTTACGAGTTACCAAAGCAACGTTAAAACACGATAAACCACCATTAAATTCACTTTTTAACTCTTACAACCCATAAAAGAAATATAGACTATTATATTCTTTGTTATCCCTCCAACGTTTGCATTAGCATTGTTTGGAATTTCTCTTCTAAAAATTTTCTACCGAAAGCATTTAGAGCCATCTTAATTATTCGCATATTTGAGGTGACTCTGAACTCTTTAGATGCAAATGTTAGACTTAAAATCGTAAACCTACAGCAATCAACTGTTAGTTCCACAACCTTAAATATCAGCAGGCAATAAGCTAATCACTCAAACGTTTTTATCTGGTCCTACTCCTAAATTAGAACCGACGTTTACAAACCTTCTTTTGTCAACTTCACGCAGCGTGTGCAATCTATTATCGCGAGTGAGCCGTCTTTTGCCTAGAGAGATAAAAAACGTAGTTATAAGAAAGCCGTAACAAGGAATTTAATTCGACGACCACAAGTCTAAAATCTATTGATTCGTTCGGACGAAGGGGTAACGTTCAGCTTTTTTAGATTTACTTTGATCGGTAGTTTGACGTCGATAAAGCCAAATTTTTACTTATGGAGAAAAACGGCACCTGTATGCCAGCCTTTCCCAAGGAATTAATAGCCGGGTAGGAGAGTCCGGAAAGGAGAACTGGCACATTCTGTGGTTCCGCAAGGATCTGTATTAGGCCCGTGATTGTTTTTATTGACTTGCACATTAATGATATTTGTAACTGCTCAAATAAACTAAATTTTATCTTTTAGCTGATGATACAAATATATTATATGCCGATAAAAATCTTCAGTCATTAGAACAAGTCCTTAATACTGGACTGCATAAACTGTACGTCTGGCTAACTTCAAACAAATTAACACTCAACCAAAAAATATCAAATTTTGTTATTTTCCGTCCCTTTCAAAGGAAACTAACATTTCAGCCTAAAATAAGCATATTCGACAACGAAAGAAATAAGAAAGTCCAACTGGATTGTAAAGACTTTGTAAAATATCTCGGATTGTTGATTGGTTGTAACCTTTCTCGTAAAAACCATATTGACTGCATATTACTTAAAAAAACCAGCAAAACAGCAGAGGTATACTTGCAAAACTAGGGCACTTGGTACCTTTTGGTACACTCCTGGATATTTATCAGCCATTAATTATTCCCTATTTTAACATACGGACTACCTGTTTGGGGCCAGGCCTGTAAATCGTATCTAGACAAACTGTTAATTTTACAAAAACGTGAACTACGCTTTATGTACTTTGCGAAGAAAAACGAACATACTATTCCTCTGTTTATTGACGCTAACCCGTTAACGTTAAAATTTTTATATTATAAACGCTTATCTGAATTGATGCACGACGTTAGAAATGTCTCAGCACCGCCTAAATTATGTCATTTATTTACGAATACGTCCAGTATTCATTCATACAACACTCGGTCCGCTGCCTCAAACAAATTTTTACGTAAAACGATCAAGGCTTGAAATACAAAAAAAAAGCTTTTTCAAAAATAGGCACAAAACTCTGGAATGAGATACCATGTTCTTTGAGGGAACTACCGCAACCTTCAATCAAAAAGGAAATTCAAAGTGTGCTTCTGAGTATTTGATTTAAGTAAGGTTTACAACGTTTACTCGTAACGTAAATTGTATTTGTTGCGAAAAAGGTAAGGACAAAACTGTGTTTGTTACCGAAAATTTCTGGAGTCGAAGTGACTCCCTCCGTAACCTCAGTGGAGTCATCTGAACAATTTTGGCGTAAAATACGCCAAATCTGGCGTATTCAGTGCGAACCCTGGGCTATGTGAAATCGGTGTTTTTTAAATATTTCTAGTCTGAAGAGCGTTTTCAAATAACGTGGGTTCCAGTGACCATTGGATGCATGTGGACAGTAGCCAATTATCGAAAAAAAAAATATATGCAAATCAGAAATAAGGATAAAGTTGCATGATGTGGCTTAATTTTCAGAAAATAAATGAAAAGCTTCATTGACACTCCGAGACAATAAGAAGATGAATCACAGGTCCCAAAGAAATAAGCCCATTCTCTATTTTCCAATTCCCCATAATACACTCTGTTTGCCCCCCAAATTTTGCATAAACCATTGTTTTTAAATGCTCCTGGGAGTATTGCATTTTCCCAAGAGCATTTAAAAACAATGGTTTATGCAAAATTTGGGGGGCAAACAGAGTGTATTATGGGGAATTGGAAAATAGTCAATTGAATCAGGGTTTTTGCTAATGCACATGAAAATCGGTCAGCTAGAAAACAAAAATGGGATGGACGAAAGAATCAATGACGTACTTACCAATTTGCAAGTACACCTGATGCAGCGAAAGTATCCTTGTGGCCTCAGAAATGGATTCCAATTTTCTCCCACATCTTTCTTGACATCTTTAAAAGAGCATTGCTTCGGCGTATCGGTGACGACTACAAAAAAAGTGAACAAACCTATCTGTTTTGTATCTGTTTACTACTGTTTTGTAGTACAAGCCGGGGTCAATTTTATATTCAATGCCCCTCTGCAATATTTACAATCGGCAGTAATTTCGTTTTGCCGAGGAAATCTCGTGCAAGTTAATTATCTTTATTTGAAATATAACACTAAATCAGATAATTAGAGAAATGGGACCACTCTTTTCATTTTATAAGATATGTTTGATAAGAATATTATTTTATTGCGAAATTTTAAGAATATTTTAAGAATGAATAAGCCGAAGGCTGACATTTTGAAAAGGTTAAAATTTTGTGTGTTGAAAATCTGTAAATACAAAAGTACGATACATGTGTACCGTACAATGATACGTTTTTAACTTTAACCGTTTAAAATTTTTCCTTTCTCTAAAAAGCAAAACTAGCAAACAAATTAAAAGAATACGCGCTAGCCATGACCAAATGTTCAATGCTAATGACAGTTCGATGAACGGTATATTACGTACGTACTAACCTTTGTACAGTACAAAAGAACTGAACAAAACCGTAAAGAGTATCATGATAAATTCTTTACATTTTTAAAGATAATACAAGATTATTTTCAGCCTAAAAACGGCAGGAAAATAGCAATATTCAGCCTGGGCCGGAAAGAAACAACATTCTAAAATTTAAAATTTGAGTGTAGTAAAATGCAGATTCAATAGAATGCATGAAGTCACAAGATCAACAAACAGAGATGCTTTCAAATAAACTCTTAACAGTGACAAAATATTCCACTCGTACCATGATTACATCAGCTACATACCAACTATTCATCTCCACGATTAAATAATCTGCGTATCAACACACCACTACGGTGAAAATATGTTTTAAAGTTACTTGTCTGACTCTTAATCAGGGTTTAGTGACCTTTAGTGTGTTAATCCAGGATTAGGAGTCGACCGTTCTTTCCCTTTACTTGCCGGCAACCAAATTTGTTTCGGTTCCTGTCACACCCTCGTCGGCGCCGGGTGCTTACCATGATGACGCGGCGAAGGGTGAAGAGGTCAGTAGCCCGCGTGGCAGGCGTTAAAAGGAGAAGGGGAACAGGGAAGCTCTCAATTCCCTTCCCCTTCCCTTTCGAACGCCTGCCACGTAGGCTAAGAGGTCAGTAGAAAGCAACCGCTTATAAGAAGTGCGTGACCGTTGTGCAGCAGATATATTCAGATGTGTTCATCAAAGGATATGAGGATAATATTTCAGTTAATGCCAGATTATCTCACCTACTTCCAAAGAACATTTACTTGTGGAGAATGGAATTCTTTTTGGCTTTGCGACATCCGTAACAAACACTGTCACATAATTAATCAAATCTAATAGTTGAATAATCTCGTAATTACCGCTTAGCAACGTGACTAAGTTCCTTTATCGTGCAAGCCTGAAAAATTAATCCTCGTCATCAATGGTCAATTAGCCTGATAAACGTTATCTAATATTACTGAAGGAAAATGAATGACACCAAATCAAAATGTACGGGATTTCCTTAGGGTGATAATAGGTTATTCATTTATTAACGTAAAGGACCATCTTGTGTTCCTGATCAAGGTGGACAACTTACCGAAAAACAAAAGAAAAAAATCGTTTCACGTCTTTTGAAGAAGAACTAAAAATTGTGCCAGTAAAAAACCTTTCAGTTGTAAAAAACAACCAGCCGTCCTCTCAAAAATAGAGTGCCTTAAATTATTTGAACCAGTTTAGGTAGCAAGTAATTAAGAATCGAAAGTGAATAATAAAATGGGTTACAGCCCACTGAAACCACATGGTATTTTCTGTTAAATTTGGTCGTAAGGGTACGTATTTTTGATTTTTTAAAAATTTATTCTTAAAATTCAAATGGGTTAAATACTTTTTTTAGCACTTTTTCTTTTGTAGCGTGCAAGCCAATGCATTTGTTTTTAAAATTCAGTCCTTAATTCAAAATGCAGTGAAAATGTGAGATTCCTATTTTTACTACCAAAGAAAACTCTTGAAGTTCTGATCGTATTACCCCGGATTCTTAGCGGTCAATGTTCGTGGAACCTATTCCAAGTTTATTTACGTTGTTACTGAAAAACAACTTATGCGAAAGTCCGTTTTATCTCTTGAGCGGATATATATATTTAACATACAATTTCAGTGATCTTCGTGAGTTAAGCAATCTGATTGTTTCGCTATCTCTGTCTATTCAACAGTCGTTTACCTTCGAGCCAGTGGATAATGTGTGAGCTCGGTGTTTTTCCCATTTTTTTAGAGACTGACGACCTTTCAAAAGTCGATAAAACTCCAAGGTTAACTTTTTTTAAGGCAAGAAAAGACTTCGACGGATTCAAAACGGCGTTTTTTTCTATTCGACTGTAGCTGAATTTTTTTCTCGATGGAATGCTTACAACTCCCGTTCTATAATCGCGTACAAGAGGCCGTTTTGTGAACTCAGCGTTTCCTAACAGGAAAAATTTTGCCCAAAGTTTATTTAAAACAAACAAAAATGAAAAAGAATGTTTGCAGAAATTCTACGTTTCAAGTACATACATGTAAATAGGACAAACAATACTACAGGGAAACGACGCCTCACCTCGAGCAACCGAGCCGCCATGTTAGCACTTAATGCGAAGAACGATACAACAAACCTTTTTAGCTGTAAACTTGGTGAGTTAAAAAAAAAAAAAAAAACAAAGCTCTACTTTTCTTCTCAGGTAAGGGAACGATTCAACTTTTAACGGTTCAGTTTAGCCATTACATTGTTGTTTGCGAATTGTAATGAAAATTCTGCAAAGATCTAACTTAGCGGCGAAGCCGCGAGTCACGCGCGTGGCCATTTGCCCAAAATGTCCTCCTTTATTTTCAAAATAAATCCAGTATCAGTCTAAATTTAAAACCTGACCTGGGATCCTAAAATGGATGCAAGCTTAGTTCCGATTAGTAATTTCAAGGCTTGAGACCCTCATCCACCAGAAAAAGCCCAGTAAAATGAAGTTTAGGTTTCATTACAATGCAATGGATGATTGTACAGATTGAGAAAAATACGATAAAACAACTTGCAAAAGAATTGAATAATTTCGTGCCTGGGAATGTCTGGCTAAAAATAGAATAAGTTTTGGAAGAATTTGAACAAATTTTATAAAAAGATATCCTTGTTCTAATCAACGCCATTCGTTTCATTTTCACCCAGTGTCGTCACCGCATGGCAATTTCTTGTTCACGATTCTTTTTCATTTTCTTAAGTTAGCAAGGAACTGATCCTTAAATAGCCTGTATCCCTTTTATTTGGGCATGAACTCGTGTGAGGCGAAGTAGAGTAATTTATACAAACGTGAGAGTGAGAATAAGGGTTAAGTCAGTTCTGGATAGGTGCTCAGTTTACTGTCCAGTCTCATACATGGTAATAACAGGTAATAAGGGTCTCTGCAGATTCTCACTGGCACACAACGATCCACACAATAGAAAGATTTGCCCAACTTCTTGATCCGTGATGACTAGAAGGTGTTAACCTTCTTAATTCTACAGGTATCTAATTATAATCTAAAAATGTGCAGGCCTTTGAATAAGGTCAAAACTATTAAGGAGTGCGTTTTCTATGGTCTTTTTCGCTGTTTTTTTTATGCTGCTGGTGTACATGTACATTATGTGATTCTAACTTAGTAGCTACTTTTACGTGGCTTCAGTTATTCTTCCTTATCAGTGATGTTTTTTTTATCATATATGCCATCATACACCGCATGTGGAAAAAATCTACAAATGTGGATTACGTCTAACAGTGCAACTCTTTTTGTTGTACAAATTTCTGCTAGCTTTTGAATCTGTAAAGGAAATCTCGTGCATCATGTGACCATTACGAAGTTGTTCGAAAGGTAGATAATGCTCTCTTCGGGATAAATCTCTATCCAGTGAATATCGCAATTGCTTTCCCTAATATTTATCCGTTGGATAGGGCTATCCAACCTTTGAACAACCGGAACCAGTGGTTTCGTATGCAGTACAAGGCCGTCCCTGATGATAAAATCTTGGAGTGTGACCGTTCAAATTAAGAGTACTTCATCAGCGGTACTTCAGAAGTGCTTTGAACGATTTTATAATTTGCATTTTCATTATGATGATAACAAACACTCAGAATGTGACTGACTAAATGAATTACATCATGAGAAGTACCTCAGAAGTACTATTACTGATTTGATAATTTGCATGTTCATTATGGTTATATCCACACTCACCTCGAGGCGTTGTCTTCAAGACGTTGCATGCGCAGAACGTTGCGAAACTAAACAGAGCAACCCCGTAAAGAACTGAGCTGAAAGAAATGGACAAATTCATTATCCGGGAGTAGAAGAACTGAATATGAAATATAAGGTGTAGTATCCAACAACGCACAAGTGCACCGTTTGAAATTTTTATCTCAAGACTTTAAAACCTGCAACTGTGGCATTATATTACTGTCAAATTATTTCTAAATCTTAGAAATTCTATATAATGATATTTCCCAGTTGATCACGTTTGTTGACATGACATATCTGTCTTCTGTTAGGCGTAATTCTTAAAATTGTAAAGGAAATTCTAACTTTTAATCCGTTAAAAAATCATGATGGTCGTCTATTTTTTCCAGTTTTCGCAACTTTTACCGTCAATTTGCGACAATTTGCAGCTTTTATGGTAAACACATCCAGAATGATGACGTGGAAACTTACAAGGGCATGCAAAATGCAAGTATTAAGTTCATCGACCCTCAGCCTTCAATATACACTCATAGCAAAGATAAGTAGGGTATTAGCAAGATTATTGGGACGAATCGCCCGTCAAGTCACTTGACGGGCGATTCGTCTCTTTAATCTTTCCTCGCACCAATGTTGCTATACCCCTTTTTTTCTAAGCACTTCTGTATTAACCTTTAAAAAAGGTGGATATCTTCAATCTTTACCATGTTTGCGATTCAGTAGTTAAAAATCGTGCACTTTGCCATAGTGACGCGCAAAAACTTGTACAAGTGTACAGAAAACGTGTGCAAATGTTCCCCTAACCTGCATCACTAAAGACGCCTAGAGGAAAGATTAGTAGGATATTCCTTATTGATAAGATAATACGGGCGATTTTTTAATCGACTCGTTCTTATGGTTAAGAGGCTAGAGAATCGCCCGTTAAGTAACCTTTGCTCCGTCCAACTTGTTTATGTCTTATTATCATGAGCCTAATTCTTACGATTGCAGAGAATATTTGTCTCTTTGAATCTTTTTGCAATTGTAGCTGTGTTCGTCTTTTTGATGTCGACTCAGCGACGTCAACATAAAGAAAAAGCAAATTATTTTTGTCTATATTAATCTTTTTTCTAGCGATTCTGTCTTTGTTTTGCGCTAGCAGACTTTAAAGTACCATGCGAATCGAAAAGAACCTCTCGAAACTTTGATAATCAGGAAAACCCTGTGCAGACATAATATTAAACCCAAAACCTCAGTTAAAGACGTCCAGAGACATTAGAGAAGTAAGTAGGGAAGGTATCTCACAAAATATCAAATACACGCGAATTTGATGTCTTTGAAAAGGGCTAGAGAATGACCCGTCAAGAATTTTTTTTCTTGCACCAACTGAACGTAATTAATTGACCGTCTAGTTCTCTTGCACCAACTGAACGTATTAATTGACCGTAAAGCTAAGCGACTTATAATTGTAAGGCTATATTTCCTGTATCAGCCCATCTTATTAGTCCAGTTATAAACAATAAAGATTTGTTTGTTATCGTACCACCCTATTTTATCAAAATCCTCGCAATTTTGGTATCGCTTAAAACACGATTTAAATTCAGTCCTCAGCACAAAGACTTCATGACGTCCCTAGGAGTTCCCCGTCCATCCACCTTAACATGTTGGATCCAGCTGATGATGAAGAAATACAAATAGACAAACAGTGGGGACAGAACACAAATTACTTTAAAATTTTCGTAAACACAGTCCCCGGCCACAGAATTTTAAACAGGCGTATAGTTTTGCACAATTTGTGCCACCTTTTTTTAAAAAACGAAACGTCTAGATCGTATTGAATATGTTTATGTTATGGTAGAAGCATCTAAAAATAATGTTAATAAGATAACTTTAATAACCTGTGAAGAGACTGTCTGATCTTAAAATACAATTTCGTCCATTTTTAAAACTGAATTCTGTCTTCCTGTTAACCATGATTCTTTTAAGAGTCTTTGGATGCGTTTGGTTGGGGGACTTTATTCATTAATTTTTTCCAAAAAAAAAAAATTGGATTCCAAAGTTCATCCTTGACGCTGCCTATAGAATTCTCCATTCTTCTATATTAGTGGTATTTTGTTATTATGTTTTACTGCACTTCATATTTTTCACACTTTCTCTATAAGTATGTTTCTTCATGGTGCATTATTAGACTTCGGTGTTTTCTAAGCTTCAGAACGATCTCGCCGAAAGCTTTATTTGCAATATTTTCCAAGGAAGGTTTGTTGTTAATCTAAATATAAAATAATAGAATTTTGCGGATTTTGTTAACATGGTTAACAAAATTAAATTAAACACAACCACAAACTGTTTATTTTTACAGAGTCGAAAAAGATGCCACAAGTTATAATTAGAATAAAGTAAACGACATCATTCAGTTAGTTATGGCCCGTGCACACTGCGACCAATCTCACTTTTTAAAATTTTTCTATTTAGCTGCAGATCAATTCCAGCAGATTCCACTACAGGTATAACTATGGGTAAAATCTCCTTCCCCTCATTAAGACCTTATCTACAAAAGTTATATGCCAACTAAAACGAAACAAACATAGTTAGCTTGAAAACCCGCCACATCGTGCGCGTGCTGGTAGCCCGTCTGAGGGCATTTTCCTTTGTCTTACTCTCTATTATAAAGAGTTTTCGCGCGAGCAAGTTAAAAATTTCCAGACTGCATATTTCTAAGCGGTGATAACTAAAGAAAATCAATCATTTCGTCATTGTTTTAATTTTTAAGTCGACTCCAGAGTCGACCAGAGATATTAAAAAACCCTTCTGTATAATGTTTAAAGCGGTCCGCGCACACTTCGGCAGATCGTTATGCAGCAGTTAAAACTTTTGCATGCTATATACAGTTAAAATAGTATGACGAGGCGCGTGAGCGTAGCCCGTTGACTATAGTAAAAACTTGCAATAAAAAAATAAATTTAACATTTAAAAATATATATAAATTTAGCACCATTAATAAAAAACTCTCAAACATATCACTTATTCGGCTGTAAAAATTCATCGACGATTACTTCATAGCTTTAAAAGTCTAAAAGCTGTTGAAGGAACACAGCCAATAAATTCGAATGCATGCGATATTCAATGTTCATGTTGCAACTTTATACGTCCGAGCGATGTTTAGTGTTCCCGAAAGTACAGCCTTCTGCATGTCATGAAGAACTCCATTACTCTTTCCTCCGACCAACTCCTTCAGTTTGACTTCTAAGTCTCGGCACCATCCCCCTAGTACGTCCATTGTGATATTATATTGCTTCACTTCATATCCTCAGTACTTCTTCAATTCCCAACAGTGCGGTCCGTATTTCCGCGTGGTTTTCTCCTCCTCCTTTTTCTCCCGGTTTGTAACCCATGGGCACCTCAGCTCAGGCGTGATAACTCGCTTTGACTCCTGGTTGATAATGCGAGGATCTACTCTGTTGGCTCTAACTTCTTGGTGCTCCCCAAATAGAGGGACATCCCAGAATGCTTGCCTATTGTTCGCCTCGTACACTGGCTTCGGTTTTAGTGGCGAGCACCAAGGTGGCACTGAGTCTACAAGGCCTAACTCTTGCAGAACCTCGAAGAAAAGTATCTTGAAGTCAGGGCTGCGTTATGTCGGGTAACATACTTGATCTGTGCAAGGGCAGTACAACCAGCCAGGACATGGACGACACTTTCAGGAGCCTTATTACATAGCCTTCACATCACCTCACCCGTCGTATCCGTATGCGTTTCTGGCATGCATACAGCCTCGTAGGTAATAACTGTTCGTAGAACTCAAACATCCCCGCCACTGTATGTGTTGGGCATTGTTTCCAACCGCTTAGCCACCAGAAACAGCCCTCGAATTTAAGGCTCTCGTCTTCACTTCTCGCGGAGATTAGTTCCCCCTACCAGTTCTGTTCATGCACCGCTTCCAATGTCTTCTGTTGCAAACACATTCTTACCTCTGCCTTCAGTTTCTCTGCAGTTGTCACCTCTCTACTATCATGCTTTATGTAGGTTGGATTTGGGTACTCTAGCTGCAACTGGAGGTCCTTCTCATCTGCACACCTTGCTGCCTCTTTAACTAACGAGCTATATATGAACTAACTTCACTGCCCCCTTTATCTTCGTCACTTTGTACTCCTCCTCGATCGATCGATTGATCGGTTGTGATCAGACAGGGGACTTGACTAGATGATAGACATTCTGCGAGGAAACTCCTTAGCTGCGCACTCCAGCGACATCCTCTCCTCTTGCGTCACCGTCTTAAGACACCCAAGAACTTGTACTGATTGCCCTCTTCGAGGTATTATTATTATTATTATTATTATTATTATTATTATCATGATTATTATAATTATAATTATTATGTTGTAAAAAAAACCTGAAAGAGGATATATTACTAAACCTTACTACATTTACAAACTTTAATTTTTAGTTTTATCAATAATTCCTTCCATTTTAATTCAAAAGAAGGAAAAATAAAGCAAATGATTTGAAAATGCATTTTGCAATCTATCCTTCTTCCATTTTAACAACTTTCTATTTTCTCTGTTCATCGGAAGGTTTGCCCAAATTTCCGCATTCTACTTTTTTTTAGTTAAATAATTAGAAACAGACAAACAAACCAAAATGTGATCCGGTGCATTCCCTTTCCCGCCAAGTCAGTCTGCTTGAACTGTCATCGACTCAGGGGATTTTGCTAAATGTGTCTCTCAACGTTCTTGTTTTTCTTAACCTGTGCCAAGGATTTCTTTCTAGGATCAGTAATTCTTCAAAGGCTACTGGGACTCAATAAAAAATTTGAGTTTAAAAGTTAGATTCTTTCAGGCGAAACTTCTCAGTTTCACAGACAAAAATGCCCAGTCATCACGCTTTCTATTAACATTTTTAAACAGGCCAACTTAAGATACAGCTAGATAAGGCTTGTTTGTTTGTTTGCTTGTTTTTTAATTCAGTGTTCAAGCCAATCAGTGAAGAAATTTCATCGCTATTTATTCGTGTTTACATACTTTTGGTTTTGAGTTACGCTTCAAAACATACCGTGACAGCAGTGACAGAGAATATTTTTTTTGTGGTCTGTTTTAGCTACACCCTACCCTACACGAAATCTGGAGTGGAAAGAAGTCCGTGATCAGCTTTTAGAAAACCTCAATTTTTCCATACATTCTCTGTAATTTTGATGCCGTCGAATGACAGAAAATGTACAGGAAAACCAAGGTTTTCTAAAATCTGATCACCGACTTCTTTGCACTCCAGATTTAGTGTATTATTTCTTTGAACTCGTAAGTTACTCTTTTCGACGAGAAAGCATCAAATGTATGAATTCAGGAAGAAATAGCTGGCTTTGAATTCTAATACAAATCTTCTAATTTCCCGCCATCTTGCCCTGATTACCCATGATGCAACTATGAGCGTGAACTCCTCTATTGGTGGTGGACATTGCTTGTCCACCTCCTCATTGCTTGAGTAAGATGATGTGGGATACCAGCAAGTGCGGCTACAGTTGCAGCACTAATTCTGAAGCTGTGGCTGGATGGGGTCCATCAATGCCAGCTGCTACAAAAGTATTATCCTTAAAACATTGAAAAAGGAAAACACGAGAAAAAGGCTGACCATTGGAGAGTGTAAAAAGTGCAGGAGAACTTTCACGCAGAGCTGAGAGGTCACAAAATAGAGGTTACTTCCTCAAAACGCAAATTTACCGAAGAAGTTCTTGTACTTAATTGATAATAAACATTTTTGCGTTATAGGCACTTAAGAACCTCGTGGTTTTCCAGATTCTTGACTAAGCCTCTTTTATTTTCAAAAATATTTTTAGTTGACATGAGACGGATTGAAATGCGATCAAAATTGCTCTCAAACTTGTCATACATGTCTGTTTCCTCGACGTACTATCGACCATCGAGACCCGATATAAACAAACGCTAATAATAAAAAAACATTAACAAATCATGCTAGTCTCTTAACAATCGACAGTTGGTTTGAACTAGAATAGTTATCTACCGGCCACGAAGGGTACGTAGGGTGTAGCCAAAACAGACAACATAAAAATATTCTCTGTCACTATGTTTTGAAGCGTAACTCAAAACCAAACGTATGTAAACATGAATAAATAGCGACGAAATTTCTTCACTGATTGGCTTGAACGGTGAATTAAAAAAACAAGCAAACAACCATACAAGTCGTATCTAGCTGTATCGTTAGTTGGCCTCTTTAAAAATGTTAATAGAAACGTGATGACCGGGCAGTTTTGTCTGTGAAACTGAGAAGTAGGTTTCGCCTGAAAGAATCTAACTCTTAAACTCAATTTTTTTTTATTGAGTCCCAGTAGCATTTGAAATGTTGGGAATGGAATGCCGTTTTATGTGTTCCTGTGTGGTCTGCATGGCCGAACAATAGACTTTAAAGATAAAAGAAGCTTTCGTCAAGCCAAGCCTCTGGAACACGGCCACTTTTTAAAATCTTAATATGAGAAACTTCCCAACTTCCCAAGGGATTTTGCTCTGACCATTGTTAATAGAATCTTCTTTCTCGCGGTCAAAAGCAAATCCAAAAGAGTTTACAAAACTGATACAAAATACTCCAGATTTGGCCAAAAATTGGGCCATTCAGAAATTTCCCCAAAAAACTGACTACGCGATAGTCAGTTAATCACACTTTACCTTAGTCTTGTTGCAATGCGTGTCCTGTCGAAAATGCCAGAATACTAATCCTTTCTAGGTACAGATCTTTCTAAACAAGGGATTAAAATGTGGTCTGAAATGCACTCCAATGAAAAAAATCTTCATTGTTTCCTGCATTATTATCACCTTTTTAATTGTTTTGTGGCATCCGCCGCCATCTGCTCCTTTAACACTTGCAGACACTACAGCAAATTATCTATCGGTCGAGCAGAATGGCGCTTGGCGTAGAAAGTCCTCTTAAAAAGTGTCCGAGTGTTGTTGTTATTATTATTGTTATTATTATTATTTTTATTCTTACTTATTTGAAAACGAATGTCAGCGAAATAAAAATAATCTAATCATTTTGGACATTTAATATGTCAGACAGGGAGTGGTTGGCAAGAAGAACTGAAAAGATTATTTCAAAGAATTAGTTTGCTCACGTTTCTGGAACTTGGCCACGTTATGAAATTATCACTGGATACGTCGTCGCTGATATCAGTTAGACTAAATAAAACAAATTAAACAATCATTCTCCACCGAAGTTATCAGGGGAATATCGACTAAATCGCTTATGTCTAGATACATACATAACTACTGTAACAGGTCTTCAACCACAGGGAATTCAGGGCTTTCGACACTAAGTCACTTTTGATTCAAGTATCCTAATATATGGTTTGTCACCATAATAAGATTAAGGAAGTATCGACTATGTTTCTTTTTCGTATAAGTTCCACCAATACTAGAAAAACTAAAAATAAAAATAAAACTCGCCTCACTATCACAGAGAAACAAAAGCCAAATGAAATGTGCAGAGAGACGGTCATCTATCGACGAGTTTATTTTAAGTTCAAGGCCATGGAAACGTCAACAATTCACAAATATGATAATTTGCTTACAAGAGGGGGAAGAGATGACGGTCATGTTTCTGGTAACAAAGCGTCAATAAAGACTCGTAGTCATCGTTGCTCGACCAAAGTAATCCTAATATTACTTTGCACTGTGTTTTTTTAATTAATTAAAAAAACTGCATATTTCACTCATATGGATTCAATGATAAGAACAAACAAAGCCACGTACGTTCATCTAGAATATTTCGTGAATTTAAAAATACGCCTTGTTCATTTAAAACTGGTCCTGAAGAGTGCTATGAGAGCTTCATACTATCCATTCATTTTTAAAGCACAGCACCCAATTAAACTCACAGTAGCAGAACTCTTGAAAAATGTTGCCGTAGTGCTCTTCATGGAATGTAAAAACATCACTCTTAAATATTTCAATTAAGTCTTTCTTTCAGCTGTAATTTTACGAACCATTAAAATTAATTAGTAAGCTACCAATTAAATGTAAGAAACATATATCACAACTTCTTTTAAACTCACCCAAGCCTCATAGACCTTGAAAACACGTTAAGAGTAGTTTCCATCTTTGCTAAAATAGCATTCAGCTGCAGAACTGTAGCAGAGGTTCAGAGACACTTCATGGTAAGTGATCTGCAGAAATGTACAAGTGTTAATTGCTAGCAGGGGGGGGGGGGGGTAATCCGGGGAATTTTTGGTGAGGGGGTGCCGCCCGGTTCTTCATATCCTGACCCTGTTTCAGACCAGAAAATGTCATTTTCCAGACCCGTTTTCAGACCAGACCTCCGAAATCCATACCCGTTTAAAGACCTGGCCTTTGGGCAGTAATTTATGATATCATTACTTAGATTAGAGTGCAAACAAAAAAGTTCTTCAAATGCATTTCGAATTCGTATATTTCTATTTCGTTCTTAATCATTTGGAATTGAAAACTATACCCGATTTCAGACCAAAATGGGCAAAGTGTATACCCGTTTTCAGACCAAAAAGGGCCAAAAACCCGACCCGTTGGGGCGACATATACCTCTGTGGCCTATATAAGGGAGTACCCCCTGTATGGCAGTCTTTCTACGATTGTTTTAGAGTAAAAGAAGTGGTAATGAACCTTTGGTAAATAATTGAAATGTTTTGGGCCCCCCATCTGCGAACCATAAAGGGAGGATATTGGAAATTGAGAGCAACTATTGCACTCCTTGTGGGTACTGTTTTCCTTGGGATTAGGTACACCACACATCAACCTTCTAACCATGATATCTCCAGCTATGCGTCATATATGTATACACTGCTTTGATGTGCTGTTCTTTGCAATTCGCAGTGGAGGCACTATGGAGGCCCTACGCTGGCTTTTTAAAGGAAACCAGCATTTCCGTAATTGAATGATATGTTGCGACGATCGTAAATTGGTGGCGACCTCACGGACAGTAAAAGACTTGAGAAATAAAGAACAATTCGACCAAAATAGCCGTAAACAAGAAAAGCAGGATATGTTCCTTAAAATTTAATTTATCACACTCGAGAATTAATCTCACAAGATGAGCGAGGTTGCCACCTCACTCTGCACTGATCAGTCCCACTCTATTTTGACGCTGTCTCCTTAACAGAAAAGCCGTCTGATTTGAGAAACCTCTTAGAAAAAATGCGTCTCAAATGCGTCTGTTTCCTTGTCCAGAGCATCAACTAAGTGGGACAAAAAAACCTTTTGGAGGGAATACAGCCTGCATGCAGACGTCTCCTATTTCCTTCGCAGTCTAAGAAGACATTAAAAAAAGGAATTAAGCAGTTGGGAGGGAGATTGTAAACTGTTCCTTGTCTTTAATTCATCAGATGGCATTGATATTGGGAATTGCTACGACGTGACGTATTTCTCGAATGAGCCATGCGTGTCAAAGAACGGTTTAGCATACTTTCTTACTTCTTCCTCTTAGCCAATGATAGGGATGTGCAATATGGTTTGTAATATAACGGGAGACTTTATATAACGTTTGAGTATGCAGACGGTATTTCATGTTGTAATAATATGAACCCTCTGGAGCATTTTGGCATGGTACCATTCGGTTTAGTACCTTATCCAAAAAAAAAAATGGATTTCTCTACTGATTTTGACTTTGTTAAAGTCAATATTTTAAGGACGTTATTGTGGGACTTATACGCCGTCATTATATCATCCATGGTGGTCGATGATGTTGACTTTTTAAGTCCACTTATTAACTCTAATCCTAACAATAATCTGAGGAGCGAGAATAAGCAACCTGTCGTGGGAATTCAAATTTGTAGAATTTTTTCCTGTAGGTGTCTGATTAAAACTGCAGAGTCTTAGAGGAGGCCGAAAGGGGTCAGTGTATTATTTTAAAGCTTAAAAAAGAAGTTCTAAATCACCTTTTTTAATAATCAAATAATTAATTTCAAACAAAAAAACGTTTATCGAATTATCATTGTACCGAGAATAGAGACTGGATGCTATTCTCCGAATAAATTCGACAGCCGCTGATCAATTAATTACTATTCATCTCCGGGAAAAAGGGATAGTTCGACGGTGCGAGTAAAATAAAAATAACTTGAACAGGTGTTGTTTATTCAAAGAACAGTCTTTCCGTTCTGCACCCTGCTGATTAGCGTATTATAAAGTTAAAGATAGAATAAATACTCTAACAAATTATCATCACGTTTCATTCTTTATGAATTTCATGCAGTGCGAAAAGAGTGCTCGTAAAATGTAGACTGCATACCTTACGATGGCATGAAGACTGTAGATTATAGTGGATGACAGATGGAAAAACTTTTAAAAAAGAAATTATTATAGAAAAAGAGAGACGTGGATAAAAAAAGTGAAGTAAAAAAATAGTTTACCAACTTACACGGAAACAAGGAATAAAAAAAACAACAAAACAAAAGGGTTGTTCATAAATGGAGGATACAAAATTTTAAATATTTTTCACAATGCAGTTTTTTATTTTTAAAATCCTTTGTCTTAAATTTCACTTTTCAGCATCTTTTCTTCCATTTTTAATCCTTATATTATAATTTCATTTTTTTGATCATCTGTATTTTACCATCCGTATCCGCTATCCGCAGGTATCCGGTCCTCGTTTCACAAACACCCGTGGTAAAATTATAAAAGAAACTTATGAGTGTTGCTTATGAATCTATACGTAACGCCATCGATTGCTTATTTTGTGCATGAGTTGTGTAGTTGTTATGCAATATGAGCTACAGCTGTGTACGAACAGTGATTAATATGCGATACAGCCTGGATACAGTTATTACCGGTATTAACTATAGGCTCTGACTTATAGTGCCTCTAACGCATGTTGTGCAGTCTAATGTAGTAGTCCTTTGTGTTAATGATATGGAGAAGGCCGAACATGTTAGTTTCAATTGGTTTTAGGTAATTTTCCAATTATACATATTTTGCTCAGTTTTCTTGACTTGACCTTCAGAAAAATCCAGACTTTCAGAATCGATATATATTTTAAACCAAAACGTTTAAAAATGTTCCTTTTTGGGCATGTAATATAGCGATAAATAATACAACATAAATCTTACATTTTCTAAAATATAGTATAACAGTTGTGGAAGGTTCTGAATGAGTTGCCCTGGAGTACATGACTTGTGCGATTTTCGTATGAACTTGAAAAATGGCGTCGGTAATTTCTCGTTATTTGTTTTTTCAGCCAATGGATGAAAAGATCAAAACATGGACTCTTCGTTTTCCCGCCAAAGAAACTCAAATATTGAGGAGGCATTGTTCGATTGGCCAATCGTGTTGCAGTACGTCAAAGTGCAGTATTGATGGATTTCTAGAAAGTTCTCCGGCATGAAGCTTTTTCTTACGCGAGCTTTCGCTTAACCAACCAAAAGCCACGCGTGTTTGTATCTGTTCGATAAACCAATCAAATCGCTCTATTTCCGTTCGTTATTTGTTTCCGCTTTGTTCGTGCGATTTCATTTCAAGGCCATACGAAAATCGCTCCATCATACCAGTCACCATATCATACCAGTCCATACCCAAACAAATAAAGCAAAGTCACTAGCACTGGCGACGGGCTCTAGGGCGCGGCTAGCGCCCATATGTTCAACCTGCACCGATTATCACCATGCTTTCTGGTTGAAATAGGTATTGACTTATTAGTGAAGTGATTTACACTTAGAAAAAGAAACAGTTATAGGCCTATTACTAGGTTTCATTTGTATTTAAAACTCTGAGTCATTTTAACGAAGAGGGATCTTGCCGAAACAAAAGTATTTCATGTACCAAATGACACCGACAAATCGATCGGTGACAGGAGTCCATGACCGTAAACATTTTCAGGTTTACTAAACCAACAGCATATTGGTAAAGTTTCATACTCTAATTACTAAACATTGCATTACGTTGCAGCCTAGTCTTTATGAATTGTAAATTACGCTTTATGTCTAATTCATTTCATCATATAGATTATGTGACTCTCCTTATGCTTCAATTTACGTGAATCGATTCATGAGAGGGGATCTCAATGGGGTTAACCGATAGGCGTAAAACGGCCCAAAATTTAGTCGATAGCAGTAAAAATCGAAAAATTCTAACCGTTAGCCGTAAATAGGGTAAAAAGAGTTAACCGTAACTGAAAAAAATTAACCGATAGCCGTAAAAGAGCCAAAATTTTAGCCGATAACCGTAAATGCCAGCAACCCATTAAGACCCTCATGAGAGGTATTTGTCAGAAGAAATTGAACACCCCCCTACTTAATCTCCACCCTTTTCCTCTAAGTAAAAATACTCTTTGTGTGATAAGCTAAGTTAAGTGTTGTTCGCTTTGGCGATACTCGTGCTGACGTCAGTGCTGTTGATGTAAAGGGTTCTTTTTGCTTCAGTGGCTGGCATATTGAAATAAGAAGAACGAAGTTTGTAATTAGTGAGTATCGCTATATATAGTGCACCCCATACTTGAAATTGGATGGCAATACATAAGTTGAAGGCGATGAGAGAAGCCAAAAACTAACGACCAAGTTCTCGAGTAACGTAGACCCAAATCTGTTTAAAAGCATTCTTCCGCTTTCAAAGTAAAGAGTTATCAAAACACATCATGGTCGAAGTGCTGTCGGTTAACGTTAATCGTTTAGTGTCGATCCTGAGACTCTTCATATATCATGATATATCAAGCTGTATGCTTCACAAGTGGATAAACTAAACAGTCCGGTGCAAGTTAAATATCGCCAGCTTGAGTTTGGATCGATCCAAGATGGCTACCAGGCCAAGGATCAGTTGGACGGATGTCACTTTGGTTCAGCTGGCCAGTTTGACTGAACGATTCCAGACAGAAGACTTAATTCGCAAACAGCAAATTCAACAGAGACCGTGGTAACGTATGAGGATTAAAATTGCTGAACGAGGCTGTATTGGACGAAATTCGACAAAAGTGCAGAGGAGACAGGAATCCTCTAAAGATAAGTGTAGGAATGGATTCTGTTTTCGAGAGAAGCGATACAGAGCTCTTAAAATTACTGCAAATATAGGAAAGTGGATGACCTCAATGAACCTGAACTCATACTACTTCGTATGTCTTGCATCGCTTATTTGAGGCTCAGC